TTTTTAGAAGCGCCTCGCTGCTATCAGCGTTAGATTGGCAGCCGACACGAGGGTGCTGACGTTGTTGCTCGCATTGGTGGCTCCCTGACTGGTGGTGGGTCACTTCTTACTCTTCTTGGTGGGCGGCTCCTGCACGTCTTGCGAGTCCTCGGTGTCCTCGCTGTCGGTCGGTCGCGGCGTGTTGTTGCTGTCCTCGTTGTCGTTCGTAGCGAGGGAATCGTTCGTGTCTTCGCTGGCAACCGCGACTGTGATCGGCGTGGCCGGTTTATCCATCGAGTCCTCTGTGAAGGACGTGGTCGTGCTGTTCTCGTCGATGGCCGCTGGATCAATACTGCCCGGCTCCTTACCGTTCACCGCCACTTCCTGATTGCTGTCGTCCGACGGCTCCGTTGCCTCGCCGTTGCTGGGCGGATGAGAGTTCCCGTTCTCCGTGGAGCCTGGAATGCCGTCGAGAAGCTCCGGCTTCAGCTCGGACGCCACGTAGTGGGTCCACAGCGCCAGTTCCACCCTGTGGGGACTCCAAGTTTTCCCGTTCGACGCTGCAACCGATCAATTCAACCGAATATTTACACCATCCTTCCGGCCATTGTAACCGGTGCTATCGCGCGCCCCTTGCTCTCGACCCACGAATTTCTTCGTCATCGATCCACGCGAGCACCGCCGGTGATACGAGCTCGTTCGCGCTCGCGATTCCTGCCGCCTCTCGGTGAACGGCGAACGGCGAACGGCGAACGGCGAGCGGCGAACGGTGAACGGAACGCGATCGCGATCGGACGGCCGAAGGGAAACGAATCGAACGAGGAAATACTCACTCTGTTTGTTCAGCCTCTCGACGGTGTTCTGAATGTGCTGGACAAAGTTGAGGTACTCCTTGGTGGTGTAATCGATGCCCTCGATTTCCGGTATCGCCATCAGGCACTCGTCCGCCATGAACGGTGCATTCTCCGGCGACGCCGCCGCCAAGAGGGCCGACGCCATCGTGGTGCCTACACCTTTCAAATTCGAGAGAGCGGTGATCGCCTGTTCGAGATTCGGAAGCTTTTTGAACGCCTTCTTCGTCTCCGCCATCACCGCGCGGGGCGTGTTCACTTTGACCAAGTAGGACAGCTGGGGGTAGAATTTGCCGCGCTGCAAAACAATCGAACGCGATCGTGCCGTGAATAGCCGGGAACAACACGCGTTAACGGAGCTCGCCTGCTGTAACCGCGCGCGGTCACCCGTTTCCGAATGGGAGACGATTACTCACTATTTGCTTCCACTTCATCGTTTGCACCAGCTCTTCGTGATTGAGGTGCGCGTCCTTGCCGCGCGATTTGATCTTCTTTGGAAGCTCATTCTGATACCTGTGAACAGAAACGGGTCGCGACACCGTCAGCAACAGATCCTGCTAAAAAATCGGCAAGTCGCAGCTTGAAACGATTGGGCAACGCGATGGTCATCGATTAATCGGAATCGGTCGGCGATCATCGAGAACCGCTTTGGACGATTTAAAGAGCCGGCGCCGCGCTCGCCGACAACACGGGGCGAAAGAATGCCAGATCGAGTACCGTGTCCACCCTTTTTCAAGAATCTGGTTTCCTTTACCCGGGAACGCCTCGCCTCGATCCAGGTAACGTTTCCTCTTTCTTTTTTTTCTTCTCTTTCTTTGTCCCCATTATTCGGGTCATCGACACGGGGGACAAGTTCTCGCGCTCCTCCGTCCTCCGGAGCGCGAAACGACGCATCCGTGAACAGAAGCGAAACGGAGCA